GCGCTGTTCACGCTTGCTGAAGGCGGCCTATAACAAGGTATAAAGTAGGATTCTCCTGGGATCCACCGATGGCGAGGCACGCGCCGCTCGTTCTTGTATTTAAACGCATAATTAAACGACGTTGCATCATGCGTAAATTGCAATAATCCTTGTGCATTCGCCGCGTCCCCATTCACGGGGGCGGACGCGAGGGAATAATTGCTTTCGCTTGATTGTGTAACGCGCGAGCGGACCGCTCACGCCGCACGCGTTTCAGCTTCGAATAGAAAGGGGGCGATCTTTGTTTCACCGCCGGAAGTCGCGCTTTTCTTCGCGGGCGAGGCGTTCCTCGTTTCGACTACCCCGGAAAACTCCAGATAAACCCGCGGAAAATCCCCGGAAAACCTTCGGAAAATTCCTCGGTACCCCCGGAAAAATCCCGGAAGTGGGAGGGAGTGTCCGCGATTCGAACCGTAATACTCGTCGTACCCCTCTCTCTCTCTCCTGCGACGTATTATTACGTCCTTTGACGATCCACGGCGCGCCGCCCTCTTGCCGAGAGAAAGTTCTGTGACGTGTGCTGGATGTTTCGCCATATGGAAATCCGAATGACGGATCGAGTCGATGGAAGACAGGAGTCTTCTTCCGGCAAAAGGCGCAAGACGTTTTTATTAAAATCTGATTCTGACGGATTCGATTTTCGTAGCTCCCTCGCGGGCCAAAGGGACGCATCATCGATACTTTTGTCTCGCGTTCTCTTGGCGATACAATTACTCCTCCTCCTTCTCCACCCTTTTGCTCTTAACCCGGCACGGACGGAAGTCGCAGAAAATAACCTGCGCGATGTGTGTACGATAATGTTCAGATGTCGCGGAGTCGTCCGCCGTTATGCATGTTAAAACGCATTCTTTTAAAACCGAGTTCACGGTCTACAACTGATCATAGTATACTAACATCCACTTTATCCTGTACACGATGCGTCATTTTTCCTGTTCCGTTACATTTCTTTTCTTCTCTCGGAAACTTTCTTGTCTATCATTCTGTGTTGTATATTATATTTTTTGTCCATACAGTGCGTAAATAGAGAAATAAATGTTGCTTCTTGGTCTCTGCATATTTTAAAATTCTGCTGGCTCGCGCGAGGTCGAGACTTTATAGAGTGATTCCGACTGTTTCGCGGCAACCGGGGCTGCACGATATTCTTTTCGCAGATTTTCGAACCCATTTCTCTGTGAACAACGTTTATTATCTAGTTCGAGTAGCTGACAATTTAAACTGCCGGCTAGAATTGGAATTCTGGTGTACTTGGACTGTATAGGGGGTTAGGTGAAGGGGTATGTACGTTGAACTTGCGGAGAAACAGGATCTGCGGCAATAATTTAGTCGTCTAAGGAAAGGAGATGAGAAACGAGGAAACTTTTGTATTCGCTATCAAGCATTGTTCCGGGCTGGCATGACTCCTGAATGAATTCAGTAATTGCATAGACCGAACGCGAACCTGATACACGTGCTTGCACAGTCATTGACAAAAGAATCGGAAATTTTAGGTCACGTTGCTCGGCAATGGCAAGGACTCGGGAGATTTCGTGCAAACACATGTGGCTCCACTTCTCGATACCTATTCGGGTGTTTCTAAAACAAGGGACGAGGGGACGAAAGACTGGAAGAACATAGGAGAAATCGCCTCGATGCTTCGTCAACGGTATCGATTTATCCTTCGATGATATAATTAGAGCCAGATCTATTAGCTATTAACGATCATAGCAATTTAGAATTCCCGGTGAAATTTTCGAAATTGCAGTAATAGCTACCTGTTTTTATCGACAGAACCGGAGGCACAGCGCGACTGGGTTAATGAACGTGTATTCGACTAATGAGCAAAACAAACTCGCGGGATTCGAGTCCCGCGCGTCGCAGGCAACACAGTTCCAAGTTTGTTTCGGTTTATCCGTATCGATGGAATATCGACGAGACCGCGTCGTCTAACGCTCCCATTGCCGTGTCCGACTATACTTGAAAATGAATCGATGGCACGTGATTGGTTTATCGAGTTTCGTTTGGCTGCAATCCACCCGCGACTCGGCCAGGCCCCGCGCGCAAGGTGTCCGGCCGGAGGCGACGGTCGTGATTCGACGAAAAACGACCGAAAAGAATGCACTCGTTGTCCGCAATACGCCGGGATCAAAATGCCGCGAGTCCGTTGGAGGTAATATTTACAGGAAATTCATGAACATATTCCGCGGAACGAAACCGAAAACCGGGCACGGCAAAGAGGGAAGAACGGGAAAATTCTGCGCGGTTCTCGTTTTTCAACAGCGAAATAGCGAGGCAGAGAGATGGCGGATAAAAGTTAACGAATCCCTCCTGCGCCCGCGAATGCGTGCTGGGACTATAATATTTAATACGCGAAAAGGGGCGCGCCGTTCGGACTGAATTCAAAGCGATGGAAATTTTAATTACGTGCGCGAATATTCGGCCCGCGTGCCCCAGGGAAAGAGAAAGAGAAAGAGAAAGAGAGAGGAACGCATCGTTCGCGATTTTCGCAACGAGTATTATTTTAATTAAACGCTTTCCCCACATTCTTTCCGAGTCTTCGCGCGCGCCGAAAGCTGCCGACCCGATTTCGAAGTGTCGATTATTTAAGGCAGGCGCGGCCAACAAGCGTTCCGCTGCCCTGGGAACGCCCCCGATTGCCCCCTAGGGCAGTGCTGCTGACCGAGTCACCAGAAGGACCCTCGCCGAGGTCAGCAACCACAGAATTTTCCAGCAGAACCTACCACACGTTTTCTTAAAGCTTTACGTATCAAATGAATCATGTCCGCAAACTATTTATGACCTATCGACGAGAGAAAATCTAAACAGAGAAAAGTGGGACACCTGAAACCCGTACTACCAGACGACAAAACGTGAACAATCGTCTCAACCGGGGAATGCTATGTTGGAAAACCCTGCACGGGTTGATAAATGACCGAAGTGGGCGTGGCTTCGGTGCCCCGAATTCCAACGGAGTCAGGCCAGTGCCCCAGAGGGCAATCTGCATATGGCCCTCGCTCCACATCCCCTAAAAATCCGGCTTAAAAGAGGCTGCAATTACCGCTCGTTCTGGATTCTCTTCTCTTTTCATTAAAAAGAAAAAAAAAGTATCGGTTTCCAGCCCCCTGTGACGCGAGTCCGCAAGAAAAAGCTACCTTCGCGAGCCTTCAAGATGTATCGCTTTCAAGATGGCCGACGACCATTTTTATCGCGACAGTATTTGTGTCTGTCAACGAAGTAACCGTGTGTTTACATAACAAACGGCTCCGTTTTCCCGTAGCACAACCGTTGTCTCGTCTCGGTCGTACGCGCACGGAAAAACTGTCGTCGAAGAACGATTTATCAACGTGCTCGAAAGAAGATTAGCTCTCCCGAGACGATAAGGACGCCCGTTTGTCCCACGACTCAAGGAAATGTAATTCGACTCGCTCTTAATACGATCTTCCTTGCTGTTCACACAAAAATCCCGTCGGGACCCGCCATTTTCCTCACCCCTTGCTGACGCATCCCAAAGGGTTACACCAGGGGCGCTACTCGCAGGAATACACCGCAGAAAATGCCACACTGTTCACGTTCCCCCCTAGCAACGGCTGTTTCCGAACGTACCAGTCTCGATCGTCGCAACGTGAAAGTCTCTACGACTGTACGCGTAGAAAAATTTATGCATTTTACCGTGCAGAATGATGCGAAACTTGTAAATATTTAAACGCGCTGTGTCAGGATTCACGACAAAAAATGACTGTTCCGTCGCAAATAAATGTTCTCGCAACCAATACTATCAATTGCGTTCGCTTATGCATTTAATTGTAACATTCTGTATAAATATAATCGTGATAATAGCAAAAGCATGGCCGATGATTTTTCGAAACCGTAATTCCAAGATGGCGGACGCGACACGTCAAGAGCTAATGCGTCGACTTGATTCTTTAAAAATTATTCGTATCGCGACTTTCGAGTTATGAAATTAAAATAAGGCTAGCTTTTTCACGCGAAATCCTTGGCCATAGGTGACACAAGTTTTTTTCCAGGTATTAATAGCGGACGGTATCGAATAGCGTTGTTTAAATCATCCGATCGCCATGACTCACTGGATTAGAATCGATATTGGAACGCGTCGGGCGTCTAACGCTGCGAACACAATGCCCGGTGCAGGATTATGCTTTCGCTGTCAAGCTTTCTCAGAAGAACCATTAATATTTCCCTCGGAGCTGCAGAACGAGGGAAAACTTAACGGTACAGGTAATCGGTAATTGGAACCCGGTGTCCTTGGGCCGAAAATATCCGACGAAAATTCTCTAGCAGCATTTCTCTGCACGCGTGTTTTTTGCTGAGCGGATTTGCAAGAGGAAAATCGCTAAGATAAACAAGCTTCGTCGAGGAAAAATGTTCGACGACGATTACGAAACGCGTCGTAGGTGCTTGCACATGTTTGGACGAGCGACGCGCGATCGATTTTTTTTTTTTCGAGAACTAAGTCGCAATTCCTTTTACGTCGGGACGCGTTCGTTCAACAGTAAACCTGCCGTACCGGTCAAAATAACCGGTTTTTCACATGATTTATCTGGAAATTATCGAGGTTGTAATTCCTTAATTGGAGCATAAATAAATTCAGTCTTGTCGTTCTAAAGAAGCAACACAGGTTAGTTACATTCTGCGTTGAAAAACGTCACCCAAGGCCATAGGCCCTTCCGACAATCGGATGATACATACTTGCGTCGGCTGTCCGAGGATTTCTTAAGTCGTGGAAATCTAATTATCGAGACGCATTATTTCACACATTCCGCGGCTGTCCTCTGTCAAAGCACCGTGTCACAAACGTAAATATCGAACACGATAAAGTGGTCCGAAAAGTCGAGTTTTCGGGAAACAGCCACGTAGAAGCGACAATGCAAATAGTTTTCCGGCGCGCTGAACGTGTCGCGAGATCGATGGCGATCGATTATCGAAATCGCGTGGAAAATCTGTAACGATTTCGGCGAGTCACTTACCCATCTTCTTAGCGTGGCGTCCCGGGGAGATCGTTGGAAAACGCCACATGATCCGGATCGACGAGCGTTCACGTGCCTCGATTTAGGCGAATTCCTTTCACCGGAGTCCCAAGAGAACAATTTCACAGTGTTTCGTTCGCGGAGCAGTTCGAGCGACGGGTTTTCGAGCACAGTGTGGTGGTGGTGGTCATGTTGCACCGTTCGCGGAACCGGGGAACAAACATCGCACGAGCCCACAACATAGGAGAGAGCGAAGGGACGACCTACCCGTCAGAGCATCGTGTATCCTTGCCCGGAACGAGGAGCAGGTTCCACACTACGTCATCGTTATACCATTCCCCGAGAAAACTGCTCTTCCAGAGTTCCTGCCCGAGCGGCGTTTTTACCGTTCCCACATGACTAACAGGTTGACCGTGAACGCCGACCGAAACTTTCGTCGATACACTATGTATTTATGCGAGCACACTGCGAACAAGACCTCCGGCTCGGTACGCGTCTAATAACGGAACAGCTAATTGCGCCGAGGAAAAGGGTAACGCGGCCCCGAAACAATGGAAAACGTGTCCGAGGACTTGTTGCGGGAACGCGTCCCTGCTTCTCCCGGGGGGATTCGAAGAAATCCTTCGCCTCGCCTGCACGCCGTTCCCTTGTCCCGAAGATTCTGCTCCGACAAACCGTGTGCCGGTTCCTTTCCAAACCGTTGGAACAACTGCCGGACAGATGCGCTTGCAACGCGACTCGCTTTCCAACCAATTCCCGCGCGAATTCTTCCCGAGGGGATCTTTTTTTTCACGCGTCTCGGTCGTTTCCCGCGAACCGGGCCAGGTATCGGTGGAATTTCGGGAAATCGTGGCGAGTCGACCGATTATCGTAAGAACGGATCGGCAGAAGATCGTAGACGGGAAGATCGCGACGCGTCGAACACGATGCTGCTTCCGCGACGTCTCGCGCTAGACTGCGGCCCGCTCGCCGAGTTCCAAGACCGATTTAAAGCTCCGCCATAGGCTAGAGAGCGTATCTCGAGGCAGCGGTGATTTTCCTGCAGATTTTTGCCGTGATTGGATCCCAAATCGAACACCTGTTATCCGTCATAATGTGATAGACAAATAGCAACGGCTCGTCATAATGTAAGGCGACGCTTATCTGATATTTACCTGTTACTTAAACGATCGCAACGGTCCTAGATCCAGCCATAAACTGGCAAGCTATATATGTATCTATAATAGTAAGAAATTTCTTAATTAAGTTGGGCGAAAGTTGCCCCATCCAATTTGAATCGATACTCGATTATTTCTCTCGAAGGCACGTGTCCTAATGAATGTTTAATGGAGTGAAATTGATTTTATCGGGATTTTAGAGGGTAGATAAAATTGAGATATACAACTAATGCCTTCGGTAATATATTGTTCGTAAGTATTTCTCTGTGATAAAACTGTAATTCTTTTGATTCTTTGAAAAAAGAGAACACGATGGCGGGAAATAATTTTGGCCGCCCTTTTTCCTGAAACACCTCTGCGTGGCGGTTAAATTTTAGAATCAAAAATCTCAAACCCCGGCATTGGTCGAAAGGGGTCTCGGGTATCGCGTAAGGGAGATGAATGGCGGAATCGATAAATTCTAGTTTCGTTCAGCCGAATCTGACGTACCAGCACAGGAAACGTTTTAAGATCCGTTAAATCTCCGAAACTATCTCTCGGCCTCTAAGTGCTCCTATCTCAGAAACCGAGATTATATCCTGCGGCGAACAGTAATCGATGAGTAAGTGCAATTATTTCGAACGATATCTTCTTTATTTTATATCTTGCAAGATCGAACGGCCTTCGAGTAGAACGTTTCCTATCGAATCGACAATAATGCAATGACATAGTTATTTACGAGAAAACGTTGCCAATCACTTTATCTAGAAAATACGATTATTTCGAGACGCTATCTTATTCTTTACAAATCGCTACGATCACGATCAATTACAGTATATTGACTAGTACCTCTTAATGGCGACCAATTTTTTTTAAAGCAATACCCAGTGTCTTATATAAACGATATCTCGTATCAGTGATGATCACGAATCATGCTACAGTGACGCAATACAATGTAATGCAGTTTTCCAGTCGTCGAGAAAATTATTTACATACATATTGCGAAAGAAAAATTTTTCCAACGTGTTGTGTGTAGCAACGTAAATATTTTTAGAATCCTTATTATTGAAAATATTAATAGAATTGTTTGTACTGTAGGAAAACCTTTGTCGCACATCATATAATTAAAATGCAAAAATTTGTTGGGAACTTGTGAACGAAATTTCGCTACGCACACGTCGAACTAACAATATTTCGTATTCAAACATTCCTGTGTCCTAGATGCGGCCGCGCTAACCCCTGCAAATGAAGACAAAAAATTTTTTTGCAACTTTTCCGTGACAGTTTAATTAGTCCCGTGATAATCGCTATTAACTCTGTCTGCTTCTCTATTTTTTTTTTTATCATCGTTCCTGGTGAAAAATGCACGTACGTGTATACCTGTAACGCCCTTTGTGCTCCCGGTTCAAAGGCCCGTCCCCTCGGCTGCCTATTGTTCGTTATCTCTGTCTGCTACGCATAGGGGGCGATCTTATATATTTTCGAGGGGTTCAGAACTATAATGGCGTGAAAACAAAGGACATCGACGTCCGGAACACCTGGAGCCTTTTTTCCCTTTAAAAGACTCTCGCGTGCCGCTTCCGAGTTTACTTGAGATGGTGAGAATTTTCGGCGCGCGTAGGTGTGCGCCACGGTTATATTGGAAATGGACCGAGGAAATGAATAACGGAAATACGGTCCTCCCCTCTCTCTTTCTCTCTCTCTCTCTCTCTCTCGCGCGCGCGGAGAAAATACGAATTCCCGCGAATATTTCTCTTTTCTTCCCGACGCAACGCGCGCCGCGTCTGACAACGCTAGACGTCTGCTTTGTCCGACTACGCGGGCACGAAATAACATTCCTTCTGACAGAACTACTTTGCAGTTATTAATTTTTCATTTACGGAGGAGTTTTGTTCCGAACATCCGTGACCAGAACTGCGCAAACCACTCCTCGCATAGACGCTCCCTTCAAAGGACAATCTCATCGCAATAACAGATTATGAGATACACGAAATACCCTTTGAAACGTCTGCGCTACTACTCTGACCAATTTATTTCTCCTAATAAGAAAATGTAACTCGGATGTTCACTCGTACGTAAAGCGGGTTTTTGTAGAACGTGAACTGATTTATCGGAGACTACTTTATGTTCCCTTGGAATCTTATTTTTAAACATTTAAGAATACAAACTATTTCTAAATTCTGTGTAACGTATTTGCAAAATGTTGCTATAACTGGAGCGGAGAAGGTACGGTGTAAACTGGCACTGTAAACTGCAAGATAAACTGAGAGATCATATGAAGGAAAACATTTTATAAATATGTATTTTACAAGTTGTATTTTACATGGGTTTTAATACTAACATGATATACCACTCCGTACATTAGATTCATTTGTCTGGGATTTGCTCTAGACCCTGTAAAATAGAAATAGTTTCATTACATAAACTTCTTTGACGAAAAATAAAGAGTTTCTACAGTTCAATGTCATAGCAAGTATAGTAAACTAAAATAAATATATCATTATTAAATGATAGAAAACATTAAAGTTACTTACTGCCCTTATCCAAGGTTGCCCGTGTAGGTTAGTATCCCTCAAATTCATATTGACATCATAGGTGTTAGTCAGAGATCTGCGCATTGGCTGTAATGAGAAAATAAAATGTAACTACAACTTAAAGCACACGAAAGAACGAGGAAAATTTAATGAAACATCTTTAAAATTATCTGTTACGCAAAATGTTAGAGATATAGGTTAAGTTGCATAGATTACTCACGATTCGGTATCTCCATTGCGTTATATAGTAAGCTGTGTATTGAGGAATTATAGTTGCGACTGTTATTATAGCTACACTTGGAAGTATCTCCAACCACCACATTTTAAGGAAAGTTTTTTGATGTAAGCAGACCGATTACAGCTCCAAAATGTCCACACAACAGGGTGTACGATGTCGTTTGTGGTAGTGTATCTAGAATCCGCTTTCGTAAACATATAGTGCTCTGTATGCCATGTATGCATACAAGTAACCCTGCGCGTGCGTTTATAAATTTCTTTGCAGCTCATCGTCATTTAAATTATTATTTCTGCATAGACTATGTATATGTTGGATAATATAAATTATATAAATATATTATGTATAAATTACTACTTCTACTACTACTATAGATATATGATGCATTAAAATAATAACACGTTGTTTTGAATGTTTATATGCAAGAAACTCAATTTAAACAACTTTTTGTAATGTACTTATTAGCTAGTTGCGAAGTAAACGGTACACTTTTTTAGAAATTTATTATGTATTTGAAATTTCAAATCTTGTTCGAATGACCTCCAGGCGAACCAATTTACCGATTCATAGCGAATGTTTGTGTACCTTTATCGGCAGTCAGTTAAAGATTTTCGAACGGTAGGTATACACAACATGTTATCATAAAGTTCAAAATGATAATTAATACATACATTTCGATTAAATAAAAGCCTGTTTCTCGCGATTCATTCATCCAAATCGTTTCTTAACACGATTGTGTTTATACTAGATTTGAATTATTTGTTTCAAGAAAATGGTACGTGTGTTGCAAGAAATATTTCAAGTTAATCACTAAAATTAATTATTTTTTTCAGGATATAATACGGAGAAGTTTCAGACCACCGAAAATGTTACTCAGAGTATATTCTCTTTTTATTCTAATGTGTGATCTTATAACACTTTTTGCCAAGATCAATTATGAAATTTTAATTGCAATATATGGAACAATCTGCCCTCCACCACAGAAAAAAGTGTTTAGAGAAGTTGCAGTGGTATATATAGACTCATTTGAATTATTTTAAAAACTATGTATATAATTTGTAAAACATCTCTGTTTACCCTAGGTTGTTGGTGGTGGACATGGAATAGGCAAAGAACTGGCATTTCTTTTAAGTAAATGGGGTGTCAATGTTGCTTGTATAGATACAGTAGATGGTCATATCATCCCGGATGAATACGCATTAGGTGAAATAAGACCATATATTTGCAATATCACTAATAAGGAACGTGTAAGTTTGTTACAGATAACATTGGAATATGAGGTAAATTATTTTGATAACAAAATTAATAATCAATTACAGTTGATCAATACTGTGGCAAGCATTCAAGCAAGATTTGGTGATATTACAATGCTTTTTTATTGTTCTATACCAAGTCCTGCATCCTTGCTTCAAAATAATCCTGACCCTGACGTAACTCACACAATCAACTTAACAATTATTAGCTACTTTTGGGTAAGTATGCATACATTATACACAAATATCAATTTGTAAATCTCAGTTGTGGATACTTTTAGTTACTGGAAAAAATTCTGCCTTCAATGAAATCAAAAAATAAGGGTCACATAGTATTTCTGTCTTCTGTGGCTGGTCTATCGAGTGCTACTACTGAGCACTCGAGCAGAGTCTTACTATCTGCTGCACAGTTTGCTATTCAAGGACTAGCTGAATCACTTCATACTGAATTAAGACATTCTAATTGTGACGTTATAGTTACATTAGTCCATATTTATCCATTTATTATAGATGCAGAATCAGCTAGAGATATTCGTTCTAGGTAAGACTTCTTCTTAACAAAAACTGCGATCCTACAAAAAGAGTCATGTTCTTACTTTTCATATTGTAGAATACCGAGTTTTCTGGGCACAATGCCTGCCGCGGAAGCGGCTCAGAAAATTTTAGATGGAGTCCGTCGAAATTATGTGGAGTTCAGCATACCTGGGTATCTGTTGTATTTGAAACACATCCTCAGGTGAGCATATAATTAATACACTTAAAAATATCGCGCATGCATCTATTATTTCTTACTTTCAGAATACTTCCAAAATCGGCATCGTTCATGTTGCGCGACTTCTTAGATACTGGAGTTGATTTTGGATAATGTTCGATTGTTTCTGCATTATAGGGTAATTTACGTAAGAAGTCTCAAATTTGTATAAGAAAATTTTTATTTTTGTTTTTACATCATTCGATTTTCAAAGTGCCTTTCAGTAACGTAACTTTTAGTAACTTCCGTTTTGTAATTCAGTGTCATATACGCGAATATTTACATGGAATAAAGATGTCGTATGTAAGACACACATGCGAATTAATTACGAGTCAACAGGATAATTCACTAATCGATGCAGTAAACAGACACGCACGCAACGTATAAAACTTTATAAGCACATTCATGGCACTATTTTAGTACAAATCAGAATCTAAAAAACAGTCGTCATACTTACTGTTTGAGATTGACATCTGCAAAGAAGTCTAATGTAACTCTAAGTTGATTATTGTTTCCAGTAACTTTTTTTTTTTTTTT